GCTGCCGGGACTGTACCCGATGGGAGAAGACCCCAGAGGTGAACTTCCTGAGCTGCTGCTGCTGCTGCCGTTGCTGCGACTACGGCTGCGCAGAAGCGCTTCCTGCAATTGAGCTACTCTCTGTTCCGCTGCTTGCAACATAGTCTGAAATGTCTGTACATCTTTCTTTCTTTCTTCCTCTTTCATCTCGGCCCGCAATTCAGCAGCAGCACACTTAACCTTCAAAGCCTCTGCTTCGCCCCGCAGGGCCTCCAACAGAGCCTGCTGCTCCCGCTGCTGCTTTTGGTGGTCCAGAAGCTGTTCTTGGTGTTTTTGGTGTTGCTGCTGTTGCTGCTTGTGCTGCTCTTGCTGCTGCTGTAACAGTAATTGCTGCTGCTGCTGTAGTGCCTCCAGTTCCTGTACCCGACACCTTGACTCTTTCACAAGATGCTCCAATGCGTCTGACTGACCTTTCAGCGCAACTACCTGAGCCTGAGACTCAGCAAGCTCCTGCAGCAATTGTTGCTGTTGCTGCTGCTGCTGCTGCTGTTGCTGCTGCTGCTGCTGTTGGGATGAATGCACTAAAGCTGCCAGATCGGCCTCCAGCCGGTGCTTGTCCTCCTCGAGGGCAGCTAAACGGCGCTGTGCCTGATGGTGAGACAAATGAAAAGGCGAAAAAACAAAAAACGAAATGCCCTGGCAACGAAGCATGCAATACCACAGCGTGAGTGGCAGCAACATAACCAAGCAGAAATCCATATATGTCAAGCTGAGGCAGGTGCACAGAGCACGTGCCCACAGAAAATATGGGAGTTGCAAGAGACTCTTCATGAAAGGTGGCGAGGAAGAAGAGGCTCTGATTGATACCATGGTTAAAAACCCACTGCCTCTGCTTCCTTTTGGTGCGCATGGCAAGCAGCAACGGCACGCTGGAGTTTCTCCTCGTTGCTGTTGCAGCTACTGCATCTCTCCTCCAGCAGCGCCCTCCACAGTCTGCCCTTCTCCCCCGCCAGTCTCTTCTGCGCTCGGATAGATTCATTTAGCTGAAACTCACACAACACTCTGGCATTCAAATAACCTGGCAACATACTTCCGATGCTGGCTAGACGGCCAGAGCCCACTGACAACAGCCATTCAAAGCAGTTGCCGCTGCTGGGGTTGGCAGCAGCAGTAGGTACACAAGCAGCAGCAGCGTAGCAAAACACAAAACGTTCCATTTTCCGCAGCGGTGTCGCTGCTGGAATTTCCAGAGAGGCCTAACGAAGAAGCCAAGCTGCTTCTACTGAAGCAGGAGAGCTGGCTGGCATGTACTGCGCGCCTGGCCTCTGACGGTCTTGAGTGGCTTCTAGCAAGAGCGCTGCCGCGGAGAAATGTGTATTTTACGTTCCCCCGATGCCCTTTCTGCTGGTGCAAGTGCTGCCTTCGTTGCTGCGGCCTCTGCTCTAAACTTGAAGCCCGCCCATTCAAAATCTAAAGCACCGTTAACTCGCAGCTGCACCCAGCTGTGGAGTGTTCAATACCTTCTGTACCAGGCTCACAGACTCTGCCTGGGCCTGAAGAAGCTGCCTTTCTTTGTCAGTTCCGGGCCGCCAGGGGCACGGCACAACCTCCATGAGTTTGGTGGTTTGCTGCATGCGCAGAAACGCCGAACTATGAGTCCCTTACGCAAGAATAAAAGGTTTGTCCATACGCAACGGCACAGCTATGTCATAACCTGCCCAAAAGGAGGGTGCACGCGGGGACTCGTGAGGGCGCCAGCGAGAAACGTAAACAAGAGGAAATTAGCCATACGACCCCAGGATGGGTCTGTGGTTAGTGGTATCTTGAGGGCCCTCGCTCACCTGTAAGGCACTATATTCCAGCTGCAGTCTTGCCAGCTGCATGTACGCATGGTCCCCACACACGCAGCAAAGTGTCAAGTTCAAGCCAGACTCTTTGTTCTAGAGTCCTACGGGAGGTAAGCCATGGTGGAGGAAAAAGTCCCGCAACTCGAAGAGGCCTTTACCTGAGTACTCAAGGGAACGGGTTGTCAGGGAACAGATTTGCATGCATACCTCCTTGCTGTTCGAGCAAGCCCAGTCTAGCCTCCCCATGTTGGCCAGGCGCTGGGGAGCCAGTGGACCCAAAACCCCGGACCTTCGACTCCCAGTCTTCGCATGAGGGCTGTGGCTAGAGCATCGCTGCACAGCTCGGGCGACCTGTCAGCCTTGAGCGGCCAGAAGCTAAAAGGAGCGAAGGCGCCACCCGGCTAGCTAATGTGGGAGGTCTCGACAGGGGGCCCCCTTGTTGCCCTGGGGGCCCCCCGTAATTCGTTCCTTCTGCGGGCTATAAATCCTCTGTGGACACTTAGAGACTCAAAGGTGAGTCCTTTATACTGAGACAAAGTCATCTAAGGCCAGCCAAAAGACGTCCAGGCCAGCTACCCTGCGGTCTCGGGCGCAGCAGCACCAGCAGCAGCAATGGCAACAGTGGGGTGATGATCGCGCAAGCCGAAATCTGCATATGGTGTGTTTCCAGCTCTTAATTATGTTGGTAAGAAACTAGGAGAGGAAAGGTGACGAAATTCGTACGAGAGTGCTGCTGCCAAATGCATCATCAGCTGTCCCAGCGCTGCTGCTGCAGCGGCTACTGCTGCTGCTGCTGCTGCAAAAGCAACTGCAGCAGCAACGAGGACAGCTGCGTTAAGTTGTTACTAGTAATGCTTGATTGAGCTCGCAGCACATTTTTTTTTAACTTTAGCTACTTCGCCTTGACCTTTTAGTACGTTACAGACTAGACGGTATGCTGGGGGGCCCCGTGCCGCTCCAAGGTCCCCCCCGTAGCCACAGCACGCCCCCGCGTTGGGGCTGCTGCTGTGCTTCCTGTACTTTAGGTTTAGCCTTTAGGGCTTAGGGTTTATGTCTCTGGCTTTTTAGAATAAAAGAGGAGGCTGTTTTTCTCCTTTTACACAGGACGGGCACCCTTTGTCTGGCGCACCAACGCCTCATTTCCGGCTGCTGCTGCTGCTGGTGCTGTTCTGGGGACATTAGGTGCGAAAGGTCTCCGCGGAAGGCCATTCTAACAGTTTGAATACTCCACAGTCTAAGATTCAGGTCTTAGAGATGACAATGGGCCTTTCAGAAGGGATATCACCGAGTCCCGCCCCCCCCTTGCCCGTGGGGCCCCCCAGTGGGGCGCCGATGGATGAGGAGGGTCAGCCAGGGCCCTCGGGAGGCCCTCCACGGACACCCCGTGATGAGGACACATGCAGCGAGGCCAGCTCAATGTCAACAGACGAGTTGATGTCTCCTGCTGAGAAGCTGCAAGCGGCCATAAATCTTAAGGACGAAGGCAATGCTCTGTTCAAGGAAGGCCAATATGAGCAAGCTTTGGAGAGGTACAAGGTCAGGATAGGCCCACACTGCTGCGGCTGCAGCAATAACCCATGCTTTCGCTGCCGCAACTGCTGGTTTTCCACTCTAGACGCGACCAGCCTTAGTTTGGGTCTAGGGAAGGAGACAGGCATTTGTTGGCTTGAGATATCAGCGCAGGCAGAGACAGGGGCGAATTGCAGAACATCACTATATGTATAAGGAACACAAAACAGGTGCCGTGTGTGCCGCCGGTGCAATGGGCATTGCTGCTGCAGGCAGGAGTGAAGCACGTGAAGGGTTCGCAGGATTCTGACGCCATTGCGGTGTCTGTACAGCTCAGCAGCAACAGCTGCATGTGTTGTTTGAAACTTGAACGATGGCAGCAGGCGATAACGGCGGCTAACCAGGTCCTTGCCACGGAGCCGAAGAACCCGAAGGTGAGGTGGAACTTGAGAGATGTGGTAGCAAACAGTCATGAAACCAAGCAGATGAGACCGAAGAGCCTTGGCTTGTTTAAGCTCAGTAGCGTATGGCTCTGACCTGGTTGCCAGTGACGCATACCTCACCCCCACGGGCTTTGGCTGTCCACTGGGGTTGAGATGGCTGTTGGGTGCTCGACCTCATGTGATGGCTGCAGGCGCTGTACAGGCGAGCTGTGGCCAAGAGCAACTTGGGGGAACTCAGCGACGCCAAAGACGATCTGATGGCAGTGAGTTTGAATGGAAGAAGCTACAGTGTCGACCCTTCCAACAGGATCAGGGGAAGTGGCAACAACAGAGTAGCGACGACGGCGGAAGCAGCGGCGACTGTATGTGTCTGTTCAGGTAATTGCCATTGACAAGGCGAATGCCGAGGCAAGAAAGGAACTGCAGAAAATCAGAGAAAAAATCCAGGCAGCAAAGGCAGAAGACAAGAAGGTACAGACCGGCGCAGTGCATGCGTACACTAGCGGGCTTGAGACAGTCCCGTCAGTTCACGTGGCTGCGCTACCTGCAATTGAGTGCGCACGATGAGCTCTTTTTTTGAATGTGCAGTGATGTTCGTCAGTTCAGAGTCCATGGGCTTGCGCTTTTCACTGCGTTTTTGGCGCTGCTGCTGCTATAGGCTTACAGCGGGTTGTTCAGCCGGGCTAGCGGACTGTATGACGACCGCGAGGAGGCGAGAGAGAGGAGGAAGAAAGAAGAAGAAGCAGAGAGGGCCAGGAAGAGAGCAGAGTGGGAGAAGGACATGGCGGCAAGAAAAGGCATGCATTGCTTGCTGCTTTAACTGATGCTTCTGCTGCTGTCCCCTGCTTGGCGAGGCCGACTGCAGCATATGTGGCCAGCGGTGGATTTGCAATCAACTACTCGCTGGGTTGCTCTCCTCGCTTCCTTTTGTTTATCTTTCCACATTCTTCTGCACCTGTCCTTATTTCTAGAACGTTCATGTCTTTGTGCATGCTTTCCCGTGTAGAGTACACGGGAAAGTATACACATATTTTCTGGCGTTTTTTGCCACATGCAACTTTTTGTGGATTGAGCCTGCCCCGCTCTGCGATTGCGTCATTCGTTCGTCTTCGATCGTTTTTGAGTAACTGTTTGTCCGTGCTGCTTGTGCTTGTCTCACGTCAAATGTGTGCACCTCATTTTTGCCCAATAGTTTCCATGTGTTCTTCAGCTTTTCAAGTTTATGCTTTGGGCTTTTTCTACAGAGAAGGGCGAGCAGGAGGAGGAGTTTGAGACCTGGCTGGAGAAAAAGAAGGAAGCGGAAGAGAAGGAAAGGGAGGAGAAACAGAAGCAGCAGGCCAGTGAGTACCTGCATCTAGTCGGCGTCAGCCTGACGTGCCGGTCCGCATTGTTGTTTTGCATGAACAGGGCCAAGAGTCTGCTTCTTTTCACCCATTTTTTCGTACAGGGCCACCGCTGTGTCTGCATTACTTTGAGTCTGCTTATCTGTTCCTGCCATGCAACTTTTTGTGGATTGAGCCTGCCCCGCTCTGCGATTGCGTCATTCGTTCGTCTTCGATCGTTTTTGAGTAACCGCGTTCGTATATTTATTTGCGTGCTCTTTTAGAGGGGTCCAAACGCTGCTTGTTTTGGTGTGCTATGGCCGCGGCTGCTCTTACTGCTCTTTTGTTTAGATGCATACTCCTTTTGAGGTTCAGACGCTGCTTGTGCTGGCGTGCTGTGGCCGCGGCTGCCCTTACTGCTGCACAGCGGCTGCTACTGCCCATTTGTGTCACTGCTACTTCAGAGCTAAACACCCCCGAGGGCGGATTGCAGCGACGGAAGAACAAAAGCGATTCCTCAAGCAGCAGCAGCAGCAGCAGCAGTGTGATGGAGCTGGATGAGGAGGATGCAGCAATTGTACAGGAGACGAAAAAAATGGGATATTGCTACTTCCGCCGCGATTTAACGGAAGAAGAGAAGAGACTTAACGCTCAGAACAAACCAACCAAAATAGCTTCTCCAACGCCTTCCCCTCAGTCAGCTGGAGCAGCCGGCGGCGAGCCTGAAAAGGTACTCTACCTGCACAAATTTGAATCAGATCGTAGTCTGTCATTAACTTCCAAAGGAGGAAGCTTTTAGATAGCTGTTTTTCAAGAAGATAGACATTCGCGAACCAGTGCAAACGCTTTGGCTGCTTTTTGTTATAGCGGCACGGAGGGAGTGTCTATTTTTTATTGTTGAGTTAGCAAGGCATGAGGATTTAGGGTTGAGTCTGTGAGGTCCGGCTGTTTGGTTACAGTAAGTTGAGAGGTATAACAGATAAACCAGGGATGTGTGGAAAGGCATGCAGGGACCAACGCCATGATTGCTTCATACATACCCCGTCACACGTGGTGATGTGCTGTTGGTGCAGTCTCCAGAAGGAAAGAGCATTTCGCAGTGGAACGCAAAGGGGACCACCTACGAAGAGAAGGGTAAGGCATATGCTGCTGCTGTTGCTGCGTTGGGTGATGAAGGACAGTTGGCCGCGTTCGTTCTTTACACTCCACCAGTAAACCAGGTGCCAGGGTATTTGCTGCTGCAGTTACACAGCAGTTGCACTGCTGTTTTGTGTCTTCATACATTTCAGACGTTAGTCCGTGGGCACGAACACGATTTGCAGAAAGACTTCAGGAGGCATCTGCTGAATGCGGTGGTTCGAGCATTGCGTCTCCCGAGGCACTTATTGAGGTGAGTTCAAAACGCAGAGTACGGAGTTTAGATCTCACTGCGCTGGGCTCGCGGTCGATTCGGATGATCGTATGCAGAGATGAAATGAAAACTTAAGCGTGAGACCTAAACTTTGGGACAGAGAGGGCTACGGATTGGTCGCTGTTCAGCTATGTGGATTGTTGACAAGAGCGATGGCTTGTGTCCTTCGCAGGTTTGTCGGAAGGCTACAGAGGCGATCAAGGACGGCGGGCTGAAGGACGAGACAGCGATGAAGGAACTTTTCAAGGGGTGTCTCTCTACAAAAGTCGAGGTCTGGCATTTTGCTGCTGCTGCTGCACACCCCTGTTTGCCGCTGCCCAGGGCTTTTGGGCTTGCTGCTGCTTCTACAAGGTTTCTCGTCTCTTTTCTTTCGCGTGGTGCTGTTTTCACCTCCGTTTTATTCACTCCTGAACATGCTGTTTGCTGTATCTGGCGGAGAGCTGCGTGCTGCTCGCAACGCCGTAAACACGTTGGCCATTGGGGTATTTTTGCAACTCAGACGACTTCAGTGGGGGAAGTCTCCGGCGATGCGCACTTGGCAGTTGTAAGGGGCAGCAGAAGAGTTTTCTTTGACATGAAATGCAGCGTGAAATTCAACATCAGCTGCAGCAGTGGGGGCGCACTAGGGCTGCCACCAGAGAGCAGCGCCTTGAGCGAGTCACTAGGCAGCTACGAGTCAAAGGGTAAGACAACGACTTTAAGCAGCAGCACCGTTGTGGCTACTGCGTCTTTTGCAGTGTGTATCGAAACAGCAGTGCGACAAGATAGGAGGGTACATTCGAGAACTGCTTTAGTAGCGGACGGCTGCCGTAGTTGCTGTGCTGCGCTGGACCATTAGCTTGACCCTGTGGATCGTCTTCTCAGTTCATCTGATTTTAGTTTCTTGCCTTCATTCTTGTTGGAGATTATCCTTATGTTTTTGCGTCGACCGCTCTGCTTACTCTTCCCCCGTGCAGATGTGCATCTCTCCGGATTGTGAACATGTGTATGTGTCACTGTAATCCTGTATCTTTTTCCTCAGGGACTTTGACTTTGCCCGATGTTAGCAGTGCGGACGGTAGTGGCATGTCTTGGCTACAGGGCAGTTCCGTGTCTTTGAACAAAGCCCCTTCACCCCTATTCAAGCCGGGTATGCTTCCGTACCCTTCAGATCCCCTCACCAGCCTACATTTGGCCCTTCCAGCTAGATGACTGGCAGGAACTATGTTGCCGGTGCGCCACAGCAGACCATGTTAACTTTTTTTCTCCCGTTGCTGCTGTTGCTGCTGATCGTGCAGTGGTTGATGAGGCATTGCAGAAGTACAAGGAATCTATCGCCGAGAAGATCCAAGCATTCCTTGACGACTGCAAAGCGCTGCCGTGATGGATGCAGATGGCGGCGGCCAGCACCTTCATTGTCTAGGTGGCCAGCTACCGACTGGCTGGTTAGCCAGCTCATTCGCCAGGTGCCGAACTTGTCGGCTATCCAGTCTACTTAGGGTCGGCAGTCGCATCTTGCGGGTTAACGAGCTGGTCTCGCGGGCCAGCTAACTGACCTACAGAATAGTCTGCTAGTTGACCGGCATATCAGCAGGAGAGCTAGCTAGTTGATGTCAGTTTAGCTGCGCACGAACACAGATTGGCCATTAGCTAGTCGGCGTACATGCAGCTCCCGTCAGCACAGTGTTTGCTGGCTCCGTTCAACAGTCGCAGAGATAGCTTTGTGAATACTGCACTGCGCAGCTGTCTCCAAAAGAGCAGCAAGGCACAGCCACTGCCAGAGCACTAGCAGAAGCAGCAGTTACAGATGCTGCGTCTGCTGCTGATGTGTTGGGACAGAGGCGAAACAGAAACCTGTAGGGCCGCGAATGCATTTGGCAGCAGGGTTGCGGCTGCCGCTGGCACAAACAGAAAAAGCAACATCTATAGGCAACAGTGGACGCTGTAGATTTGTGTTCTCAGTTGCGGGAGTTGGAGGTTGTCAGCAGCATCTGGTGTTGCAGCGTCCGGGTGTAGAGACAGGATACGGAATTAGAATGTTGTGTAGGAGGGCTGCGCAGACGAAGACGTGAGTACGGTGAGCAGTAGGGAGCTTCTCGCTAGACCTCAGGCATAGTTGAGCATAGCAACTCTTCCAGGATTTTGAAGTCCTGCGCGCATGAACAGGTTGGCAAGCTGTGGGGTCGCAATATGTCTTGGAGAAGTATCCAGACGAGCACTTGGAGAGTGTCAGCAGCAGCAGTTGGATTGATATGTGTAGTACTTTTCGTCTTTAACGGCAGTCATTGCCTTTCATCAAACAAATGCTGGCGGAAGCTCTAGCGTCACAACCTTTGTCTCCACGGCGGAGGAAGTGCATTTGGCTGGTTCCCAGCCTGGAAGTGCATTTGGCTGGCTCCCAGCCTGCAGACAAACAAGAGAGCAAGAGTTCTCTTCGACCCGCAAATTGTCACTGCCTTTCACCTGAAGGATTTCCAGCTGCTGGCTCTAGAGGCCGGAAGAAGCGGATTCAACATTTTAGATCTGGTAACACCGCTTCAGTGTGTCCACGGTGGGAATCTAACGCAGCATCAACTGAGGATATGCAAATGGCAGTGCTCAGACACCAAAATCATAGGAGGCCTGACATTTTTTGTTGCAGCAACGTTGCAGAAGCATGAATGAAGAGTGCTCCGAGGTAGTGTTCCAACCGCCAAACAATCAATTGGTAGCTCCATGAAGAGGAATTTGGGAGTAAGAAATGTCCATCCTATGTGAGGGATTTTTATTCTACCTTATCCTAAACTCCACTCATATCTACGTGCAGAGTGCCATACCTACGCATAATTGTTTGTGCTGGTCGAAAATGTACTACGGGGACTGGCTCCCACTTTCGACTCCCGCTGGCGGAGACTATCCTGGCTGTGCTCACGTCAAGGCGAGGTTACAAAAAGGCCTAGCAACGCTTAACTGGAAGTGCACTGACGAGCTGAAAGGCACAGGCTACACCATGAGGCCCGTGCCTCCTGCGCACAAGGCGCTTGATGGGGAGCGCACACGCCGTGCTATATGTGTACTGGCAGAAGAGTTATACCCTCTTCAGTTTCTTCTACTGGCCGTCCAAAACCATGGAGGAACTTTCGCCGTATACTGTTATTCGGTGGAACTTAGTTTTCACTGGCCCTTACGGCCACAGAAATAGCAAATTCCTGCTCACTTCAGCTAGCCAGATCGTTGGAGAAAACGTCTCGGAGTTCCTCTTTAGATTCGCCATAACAGGACTATTGTTTTTTGTAAGTGGAACATTGCAAATCTTGTGCCAAAAGAGGGGTAAGAAGCTCTAACAACCGCCATTAGACCAGTCAGCACACAAATACTATTGAGCACTGCAGTTCACGCGGTGTCCTGGTTTTCCTAGCTGCGACCTCTTCTGATCTGTTCTGATATGTGACTGTGAACATGAAAATCATTGCACTTGACTGAATACACTTCCATGTGTGTGGACCACAAATGATATGAAAGGCAAACAAGTTAGAACTCCGGGGTAGTTGTGCCAGCGTAGCTGAAGCAGTACCTGTAGCCGCCAAACAATGAGAAAACATGGGAAGGTGTGTACTAAACCTTCAGTTATACAGTTAGTTTCTCTTATGTGCCCGGAAAAAGAATTAACGGACGGTAAGCTTCGCCAAATGCAAGCAATGAACCGTTCACAGCCTCGATGACAATGCGTCACTGTGGCTGGTCTGCAGTTCCAGATAGGGACTTAAGCGAATTATGACCGTTTCGCGCTATTGCTTGAAGCCATTTTTTTCAAATAACGATAAGCATATGTAGAATTAACCACGGCTGAGGGGTTCGTGTTCTTTTGCTGCGTTGACTAGTCGATACGCACCAGCTGCTGCGGAGCCCGAGCCAAAAACCAAGCAGCAGCAACAAGAGCAGCAGCAGCAGCACGAAAAGCTCTACATGCAAAAGATCACATAAACACCGGCTGTCTGCTATATTTTTGAGGGTCGAGCCACACAGTAAGCCCAAAGAGGCCAAACTCTAGCTGGACCCCTCGTATGGCCTCAATTCGCTTCATTTCATCGAGAGGCGCAGAAAAACAGAGAAAGGGCAACAGAGGAATTCGGAGAAGAAGTATTTCTTACACGGACTACGACACTGTCTTCAACACATTCTCTTGAGAAAATCCGAGTAGTATCAGTATAATTTTCCTTCTTCGCGTAGCAACTTTAGGAGCATCAAACTCGCCAGCAAATACAGCAGCAACTGCTGGAAATACAGTGCCATCAACCTTTGGAGCAAATCCATCTACGCTGTTTCATACAGAAGGGCCAAAATACGCTACGGCAGTACATGCAGGGATCCTCCTTCCTCGTTTGAGCTCTTCTTTGAGTTTCTTTGGAGCAGCAAGAACAGAGCCAGCTGCTGCCGCAGCTGCCACTGCTGCTATCCCGCCTGTCGTCAGTGGGATTGTTGGTGTCCCTAGAACAGTGTCAGCCAGTCCACAGGCCCATAAGCTGTGCCGAAGATGTCAGCCAAAGATGCCCCCCCAACCCGCCAGCCATTGACCTCCAGGGCGTCAATGGTGGGAACTGGAGGAGATTTTAGCACTGTGGTTTTGGTAGATGTGGCTGGCAAGCCACTCATGAACCTTCACAGGGTTCCTCAGCACGTTACTGTGTCTGACGTCAAGCGGAAGATCTCGGAGCGACTGAAAGAAGTAGGGAGAAATCTACCAGCTGACCTAATGTGAGACAAACACAACACTCTAACGGCGAGTAGTTCAGGGCTTAAAGATGTCAGGGTCATATCTGCACAGTTTGGACTCAACAGTTGGACTGAAGGCATAAGGGTCTGCGCTGCAGGTTTAGGGCCGTTAAGTCCAGCCCTGTAAGAACAGCATCTGTGTTCCAGGGCTTTGCCTCACGAGCTTTGATGTTTGATCCAAAACAGCATAAGTTAGTGTTTAGTGTTTGTGAGCGTGTAAAGGATATTGAAGTACGGGGAGAACGCGGAGACGGAGATGGAAGAAGAGCGTCCTTTGACGTTTTATAACACAATGGGCTTATCCAAGGTCCAGGTTCAGATTTCAAAGCGGCACAAGTTCGATATCAATGTTGTTGTTGTTAAACGTGAGCAGCGAGACAGCAAGCGTTAGATCCCGGACAGTGCACTTTAGAAATGCACTGTTCGGGGATCTAAAACCAAATCCCTTCTTCGCTGTCATCTTCATGAAAGATGATCATGAAGTCAAGCGTAATTTAGTCTAAATCTGATGGCCTTCAAACACTTTCAAACTTTCCGCATAAGCTTCCGTCTGTATAACACTTCCAGTGGAGTTTTATTGTGATTTTACCGTGGCTTCCCGCTCTTCCTGTCTTTTTCTGCAGCTGAGGCGAAGTGCCTCTGCATCAAGAAAACAGCAAGGGAGGAACTTCCTTTTATGGTCCGAGTCCCCAGCACCTGCTACGTCAAGCAGCTCAGGGTAAACGCAAATAATGTTGCTGCAACTCAGACACATCCATTGCTGGCCTTCAGGTATTTGTAGGAGTTCCCGAAAGAGCTTGGAGTACCACTCATTTTGTGGGTAGAGAGGGACCCGGTGGGGGTACTAGCAGGACCTATGTGCATAACTCTGCTACGTCCCCGTAGGGTGTGGCACGTGAGGGGTGTTGCAGAGAAGGTATTAGGATCTACGTATTTTCTAGGCTTAGAGGTGCTCGTGTGTGGATCTGTGAGCTTCTGTGGTTAGATGGAAATCGCGCGGCGAATGAATTGCAACGTCGACCGTCATGAGTTGGAGCTCTTCTTCGACCCTGAGCTACAGGTACATGATGCTTGACTGCTTGCTTTCTGTCATGATTCACAAAAAAGTGCAGGTGAAAGTGGCAGCGCACCTTTACGTTCTGCTGAAATAGTTGAAACAGCCACTGTGTTCGTTGCAAAACTCGTGTGTTTGTTCGTGTGTTGCTTCAACAGGAGCATATAGTCATAGAAGGGACTTGCAGAGCCCGCGGAATAAACCACTTGGGAACAGTATACACAAAGTTTCCCCCTAACTTCGATATTGACCATTTGGCCCCACTGGAAGTACCGAGGGAGACAGTTGCAGACGAAGCAGCCAAGAAAGAGGAACAAGCCACGTCAGCAGCAGTAGAACAAAAGCCAGCGGAGGATATTCTCACCGATACCACAGAGGCAGAGGAAGACAAGGGAGCTCCGAAGTCTGCCATTCAACTTGACTTCGAGAAGGCAGCAGGGGTACGCAAGAAGGGTTATGTGGCTCGCGCATCCACTGCTGCTTCTGACGTTGGATGTGCTACTGCCTTTGTCGTTGTTGGCGCAGTCGCGGCTAATAGTGGGTTTTATGTTGTTTTGTTCTAGCCGTTGTTGCAGCAA